GGCAGTGCCCGCTCCCGGCCTGCAGCCCCGCGCGGCCAGGCGGCGAGGTCTGATCCCTGTAATTAACCGCAGCACCGGGCCAGGGCTCGTCAATGAGACGGGTCCCGACTGGAGATGGTGAGAACAGAGCCTGACCCCCACGTCAGGCCTCACAATGAATGCAGAGGCCAAGGGGCACGCATAATTAACAGCGGAGAACCCGAGCCCGCCAGGGAGCGAAGCGCAGCAGCACCTGTCACCGGCCCAGACGCCTCCCCGCCAGGCAGAGCTGCCGAGTGCCAACCACCCGCCTCCGCAGGCCCTCTACGCTCGCCACACCGCTCCTCGGAAACTGCAGGGTGCGGGAAGGCCTGGCCTTTTCCCGGCTCAAAAGCCTCAGGCCCAGGTTGGGCTAAGAGCGAGCGCAGAGCCAGAGAGGGAGGACTGGCAGGCAGGAGCGGTGTGCCAGGGTCCAAGCAGGAGCCCCGGCCACCTGATGCCTTGCTGAGTGGCAGAGAGGGCAGGGCGGGCACGGGCAGCTGGTGGGCGAATTTCCTGAGCGAGGACGCCTGGGAGAGCTTTGCAAGACGCAGGTGCCAAGGCGCTGCCCACCCACGTGGGGACGGAGATGCACGTGGGCACCGTGACAGACAGGCAGCGAGCAGCCACCCAGGGGGCCCAGCACCTCCGCGGAGGGCCCAGCCCCATTTCTGCCAGTGTGGGTGCTCTGGCCCCGTCCACCTCTTAATTTCTGTTTTAGTAGGGGTGCTTTGCCTTCTGGTGCACGCATTCACCAGAGAGACACTGAGGGGGATGGCCACGCTACAATCCCTTCTCCTCTCAGAATCTCGAGCCCGCACACACATGTGCCCTGCATGAGTTTCAAGTCACCAGGTCCAGGACTTGAACCGGAGTAAGCCACGTTAAGAGTCCAGTGATATAACCACTACCATCTACTGGCCCCCCTTGTCCACCTTTGAATGGCCTCCAGGCACAATCCACACGTAGGAGCTCCGGGGCACGGTGTGCCACAGCGTAGGGGTGCCAGTGCTCTCTGGGCCCTCAGCCTGGCGTGGGGTGTGCCGGCTGGCAGGGAGGCGCTCCCACGATCTCTGCCTCCCGGGGCTGCTCTTCCATCCTCCTGTCCTGACCCGCCCAGCTGCAGCCGACGCCTGATCAGGACCTGGAAGGAGCCCTGTCCTGCCTCTCTGCTCCGGCAGCCCCTACGGCCCTGGGACCAGAGTGGGATGAAGCCAGTCACCCTGGTCTCAGCATAGCTTTCTTCCCCGAAAGCAGCCACCGGAATCGGACCGGTAGTCCGGACGTGTGCCGGTGTTGGGGGCTGCTGAGGTCGGAGGCAGAAGTCCCCTGGGGGCCCCACAGGCCCTGGCACTGCAGGGACAGCCAGGCACGCCACAGAGGCAGGGTGAGGCTGGCGCCTGTGCTTTGGGAAGGACATGCTAAGTAGCCGTGACGCCGCCATCTGCTGACCTGGACTCCCGGCACCGGCTGGGGGGGGGG